ACAAACAAAGTCTGATTTGCACAAAACTTTAATACATTGTTCAACTCTAGGGTCTAGGTCAGTTTGAAAGTGAATTAATTCAAATTGACACATTAGCGCCCCCTACAGACTATTTCAAAGTTTTAGATGGGCATTTTCAAATTTAGTTTTTTCAAAATGTTTGAAATTTTGCACATAAATCTGTTTTGCCCTATTGATTCAAAAAGTCAATTGGGTCCAAGGCTTATTTTTTACCCTGTTGCCGTGGCGACGAGAAACGCTCCCCATTCATTGCAAATGTACACCTCACACAAACATCAAACCAGCCTCGGCCGTTTCACCGATTCGCCTCAAAATCGCTCCACATCATCTCAACACATGTACCATCAAAATGACTTCAGGGAATTTTGATCAGTGAAACGTTGTTCGAGCAGCAGAGCGCCAAAAAGTGGCGTATTTTTTTTCAGTTTTTGACAATAGAAATTTTTTTTTCGTTTGCACAAACAAAGTGTGATTGGCACAAAACTTTAATCCATGGTTCAACTCTTGGGTTTAGGTCATTTGAAAGTTGAAACTTTGAAATTGGCTCTATAGCGCCACCTACAACAGCCAATTTAAAAATGCCTATGGGATGGGTTCGAGGTCAAAATTGTCGTAGAGCCATGTAATTTGGAACACATGTTCCTCAAGTCAAGACATGGATAAAATGTTATTATGGATAAGCCCTCTGACAAACAGGAAGCCCATAACTTTCATTGCAAATTGGAAAAATGAAAACCAATCATTTTCATAAACGTCGGTTGGAAAGCGACTCCTCCTCGGCCGTTTCACCGATTGGCCTCAAAATTGTTCCAAATCATCTCAACACATTTACCTTCAAAATGACTTCAGGGAATTTTAATCAGTGAAACGTTGTTTGAGCAGCGGAGCGGCAAAATGTGAGGTTTTTTTTGGCCGTTTTTGACAACATTATTTTTTTTCCCGTTTGTACAAACAAAGTCTGATTTGCATTAAACTTGAATCCATTGTTCAACTCCAGGGTTTAGGTCAGGTGAAAGTGAAATATTTGGAATTGGCCCATTAGCGTCCCCTACAGACTGATTCAAAGTTTACATGGGGAGCCAAACCAGCTCTACTTATCATATTCATTACAATTTGACTAAGTTCTTCTATGGCTACGGGAACCAATCATCACACGGCGGCGCCACCTCCTATGCGCGGTGCTGCGTGGTACGGTGTAGTGCGACGTAGTGCGGGGCGTTGTGGAGCGGTGCGTTGCGGCTTGGTGCGGGGCGGCGTGATGCGGGACGGCGTGGTGCGGGGTGGCTTGGTGCGGGGTGGCTTGGTGTGGGGTGGCTTGGTGCGGGGCGGCGTGGAACGGGGTGGTGCGCGCGGTGCGGGGAGTCGCGCGGTGCGGCGAGGGCCGTTCGACGCCGCTTGCGGCTTTAATTTCTTTCTTTCTTTCTTTCTTTCTTTTTTCTTCTGCACTTTGAGCCTTAATTTGACCCCCTGAACATGCATGAAAAGTTGTTAAATTTTGCCCAAAAATCAGACCTGGCGAAAAATTTGATATTTTGGTGTTTATTTTAATGGGACTCAAAAAATGCCAGAACAGCGCCACCTACAACAGCCAAAATAATACCCCTATGGGAGTTCTGAAGATCAAGTTTGTTGTAGAGTCATGAAATTCGGTACACATGTTCCTCAAGTCAAGACAAGAAAAAAATATTATTATGGCCCCGCCCTCTGACAAACAGGAAGCCCATAAATTTCACTGCAAAATGGAAAAATGAACAGCAAAAGTTTTCATACATGTCGGTTGGAAAGCGACTCCTCCTCGGCCGTTTCACCGATTCGCCTCAAAATCGCTCCACATCATCTCAACACATGTACCTTCAAAATGACCTCAGGGATTTTTGATCAGTGAAACATTGTTTGAGCAGCGGAGCGGCAAAATGTGACCTTTTTTTGGCCGTTTTTGACAACATTAAATTTGCTCCCGTTTGCACAAACAAAGTCTGATTTGCACAAAACTTTAATACATTGTTCAACTCTAGGGTCTAGGTCGTTTGAAAGTGAATTAATTCAAATTGACACATTAGCGCCCCCTACAGACTATTTCAAAATTTTAGATGGGCATTTTCAAATTTAGTTTTTTCAAAATGTTTGAAATTTTGTACATAAATCTGTTTTGCCCTGTTGATTCAAAAAGTCAATTGGGTCCAAGGCTTATTTTTTACCCTGTTGCCGTGGCGACGACAAACGCTCCCCTTTCATTGCAAATGTACACCTCACACAAACATCAAACCAGCCTCGGCCGTTTCACCGATTCGCCTCAAAATCGCTCCACATCCTCTCAACACATGTACCATCAAAATGACTTCAGGGAATTTTGATCAGTGAAACGTTGTTTAAGCAGCGGAGCACCAAAATGTGAGGTTTTTTTGGCTCTTTTTGACAACATAAATTTTGCTCCTGTTTGCACAAACAAAGTCTGATTTGCACAAAACTTTAATCCATTGTTCAATTCCAGAGTTTAGGTCAGGTTAAAGTGAAATATTGGAAATTGGCCCATTAGCGCCCCCTAGACACTCTGTCAAAGTTTACATGGGGAGCCAAACCAGCTCTATTTATCATATTCATTACAATTTGACTAACATTCTTCTATGGCTACGGGAACAAATCATCACACGGCGGTGCCACCTCCTTTTAGCGGTGCTGCGTGGTACGGTGTGGTGCGGCGTAGTGCGGGGCGTTGTGGAGCGGCGCGTTGCGGCTTGGTGCGGGGCGGCGTGGTGCGGGGCGGCGTGGTGCGGGACGGCATGGTGCAGGGCGGCTTGGTGCGGGGCGGCGTGGTGCGGGGAGTGCGCGCGGTGCGGCGAGGGCCGTTCGACGCCGCTTGCGGCTTTAATTGTGTATTGTTTTCCCTGTTTTGACGATAGTATTCAAGAACCATTTTAAATGGTCAAGGATGTAGAGCCGGGCGATTCACTGCCTCTCGAGGGTGAAAGAGACAGATTGCTCTTTATCTAAAGCTTGACGGAATCAATGAAAAAACTACTCTGGGCATGTGTATGAAGGCCAAATAGCACTGTAATCATGTTTAAAACAGAATAGTAAAAAAGCGTGATATGGGACTTTTAAATTATATATATATATATACACATAAACATATATGTGTGTGTATATATATATATATATATATATATATATATATATATATATATATATATATATATATATATATATATATATATATGTGTGTATACAACTGCGCTGTTAATATTGATTTGCGTTGGACAGTACTTAACTCAACGACTACAGACCTGTAGCACTTACGTCTGTTGTCATGAATTCATTTGAACGCCTGGTGCGCTCCCATCTCAAGTCCTTCACCTCCCCCCTCCTGGACCCCCTGCAGTTCGCCTACAGAGCCAACAGATCTGTAGACGACGCCATTAAACTGGCCCTCCACCACATCCTACAGCACCTGGACTCCCCGGGGACCTACGCCAGGGTCCTGTTCGTGGACTTCAGCTCTGCCTTCAACACAATCCTGCCATCCCTGCTCTAGGACAAGCTCTCCCAGCTCAACGTGCCCGTTTCCACCTGCAGGTGGATCACTGACTTCCTGACGGACAGGAAGCAGCGTGTGCGTCTGGGGAAGAATGTCTCGGACCACAGGGCTGTGCTCTTTCTCCCCTGCTCTTCTCCCTGTACACCAACCACTGCACCTCCACCAGCCACGACTCCGTGAAGCTGATCAAGTTCGCGGACGACACCACCCTCATCGGACCCATCTCCAACAACGATGAGTCCACCTACAGGAGGGAGGTGGACCGGCTGGTGTCCTGGTGCAGTGGTAACAACCTGGAGCTGTAAGCCCAGAAGACAGTGGAGATGATTGTGGACTTCAGGAAGAGCACTGTCCCCCCGCCCCCACCCTCCGTGATGGACTCCCCCATCACCTCTGTGGAGTCCTATCGTTTCCTGGGCACCACCATCACCCAGGACCTCAAGTGGGAGCCGACCATCAGCCCCCTCATCAAGAAGGCCCAGCAGAGGATGTACTTCCTGCGGCAGCTCAGGAAAGCCAAGCTGCCTGCACAGATGTTGGTGCAGTTCTACACGGCCATCATCGAGTCCATCCTCACCTCCTCCGTCACCGTGTGGTTCGCTGGAGCCACAGTCAGGGACAAACAGAGACTACAGCGCATTGTGCGCTCTGCAGAGGAAGTGATCGGCCGCAGCCTTCCATCGTTGCAGGACCTACGTCGCCCGAGCTCGAGGCCGGGCTGGTCGTATCACAACTGACCCCTCTCATCCTGCACATGGACTATTCCAACCACTCCCCTCAGGCAGGAGACTGCGGTCCATCAGGACTAGAACCACCCGCCACAAGAACAGTTTCTTCCCCTCTGCTGTTGGACTCTTGAACACTTCTTAACCTGTCCCCCCGCCCTTTATAAAGTCCCTTTACTGTCCATCATACGTCACTTTACTTCACTGTACTGCTGTCACCTTACATTGTGTGCACCATGTGCACTTATAATTGTAAATAGTAACTGTAACTCTATTTTAAATTTAAATGTATTCCTTAGAAGTGTTTTTTATTCTTTATTTTTTATTATCTCTTTCTGACTGTTGCACTGAGCCAAAGCAATTTCCAAGTCTGTGACTTCCTGTTACTTACGTGGCAATAAAAAATATTCTGATTCTGATTCTTAACACATGGGCTTCTGCGTCATAATCGTCATCAATGTTGTGTTTGTCGACCCAGGTGTTTAGCTGCTCTCGAGAATGAAAAAGAACTAAAGCTTGAAGGAATCAATGAAAAAACTACTTTGGGCATGTGTATGTAGGCCAAATAGCACTGTAATAATGTTTAAAGCTGCTGACCGGGAGACCACCTACTGCAGGATGCTGAACTGAATAGATCAGTAAATCTTCTTAAATAGGCAATAGGAGGGATCAATAAAGTTTCTATATACCCACCAACCTACCTATTAACCTAGCTATATCTATCTATGCGGTTGGAAGTTGCACAAAAAGTCCTCCATGCGGGGCATGGGATACTGAAATGGAAGGGTGATAGCGTTAACTTTACAATAATCAGTGATGAACCGGGGCAAGCCTTCAGGTTTTCACTCTACTTAACATGAAGAATTTCAAGCACTGCTATTATGTGTGGAAAGACCATGGGATATAAAATATTCAGCCATCTGGAAAGGGTGCTAGCTGTCAAGGGTTCTCAATAGGAGGATCAGATAGAGAGGTGGTCTGGCTGCTAGAAACACATGCACAGGTGACCTGGCTGGTGGAGCAGATTCATGTGTACGGAGATGGTTTAGACATATGCAAAGAAGATGGCGTGAAGAGAGCCATTTCACAGTAAGCAGCAGTAGTACCTCCTATGAGCATGACAATTACAGAGAATATCTTTTCGGCGTCCGTGTTGGCACACACGTTTCCAAAGCCCACACTGGTCAGGCTGCTCAGGGTGAAGTACAGGGAGGCGATGTACACACTGCGGATGGGGGGGCCAGAGCTGTTCACCAATCCTAGACTGGGGTAAGGAGCCTCCAGGCGCTTCCCCAGCTCGTGCAGCCAGCCTGTGGGGACAGAAATGGGGACAGTCTCAATCTGCGCTGGAATAAATACTCTTTAAATAAATACTTCATACAGTGAAGTGAACAGTATTGTTCCATATCAGACAGGTTTTTTAGACTTTACATCAGTAAGTCTGTCAAGTAAGATGTTTTTAATAAATGCATTCAACCACTGGATGGACATCTGGACTGGTTACAGAAAAAAGGGTGTCCACCAGAGCATGTGGCACAACAGCACCTGAGGCTGGAGGTCCTTGATCCACTTTGTTGTTGTGTCCGACAAACTTTCAACTCACACTTTCGGGAGAGCTTCTCCCAGGTCTTAGAGGAAGAGAGCTTCTCCCAAGTCCCAAAGGAGGAGAGGAGGATTGTGAGAGTGATGGAAATAATGAATGTTTGGATATTTGATTGGGACCGTTTGAAGCCGGGGACCTAACTGTATTTTTTAATAACTGATACATGTTGTATTTATCTTATAAGAAATCACGTTATGTTTTGCAAAGAATCCTGAGTGATGGTGGTCCTCTGTTTTTCACTTTTCTGTCTGAAAAAGTCTGATCATGAAAGGCAAAGGTGCACAAAGTAAAAGGCAAAGTACCACCTCAAAAAATACTTGACCAACACTACAGTAGCGTAGTAAGCCTAAGTATTCATCGAAAACAAGGCAGAGGTTTCATTTCTAAATAAGTATATTTAATATTGTCAGCCATTGTAACATTTTACACAGTTTCAACAGTAAGACTTAAATATAGGGGAAAATAATAAATAATGATTCACAATGATACCACTAGTGGTACCACACTTTGAGAACCACTGCCATAGGGCATTTCATCCTCTGCATTTTACCCATCCTGATGCCACTAAGGCTTATGTCTGGAGCAGTGGTCGCTGTAGTACAGTGCCCAGTAATCAACTGGCTGCCCGTGGGACGAATCCAGCCTACCGAGCCAATTTTATAAACTTATTTTTGTACTTTATTATTATTATTGTCCTTATTTTCTCTGGCTTTGCAACATTTTTGGGATTATTTCTTTCAATAATAATAATCATAATCAGTGACTCTTCTGGCCCCTGGAAAAGCCATGTTCCAGCTTCTTCCCTCTGGCAGAAGATATAGTTTGTTGATGCAGGACATCTTGTTTTGCAAACAGCTTCTTTCCATGAGCTGATATCAGTTTAAATTGAGCACTTTAAATAATCTTGCCTTGTATTGAAACTGTTTTAATTGATCAATTTCACAGTGTCAATTGTTTTCTGTTTAATCTGGTGGTCATACTTGTGCATGTAAAAGCCAGATCCAGTCAGACCTCTGAAGCTGTGCAGGGCAGGGCCTGGTTGTTACTGTGATGGGACACCTCTGGGATCATCAGGTGCCACAGTGGGGCAACTGCGGCTGTAAAGAGTCAAACTGTTACTGTGTCCTTAGGCAAGACACTTCACCCACATTGCCTAGAATTAGTCTGTTCTACTGTATGTGTGAATGGTTGTTGGTGGTGGGAGCCGATGGCACATACTGTTTGCCTAGATTCTGTCAGTGTGCTCAAGGGCAGCTGTGGGTACAGTAGTTTATCACCACCGTGTATGGAGGGAATAAATAATGTGAAGCATCTTTGAGTGTCCAAAACAATGCTATATAAAACCAATGCATTATTATCATGTATTTCTGTACCTGGCTTGTGCACACTAGGGACATTTGTGGATGTACAGTGACTTGCGAAAGTATTCGGCCCCCTTGAACCTTTCAACATTTCGCCACATTTCAGGCTTCAAACAAAGATATAAAATTTTAATTTTTTGTCATGAATCAACAACAAGTGGGACACAATCGTGAAGTGGAGCAAAATTTTTGGATAATTCAAACTTTTTTAACAAATAAAAAACTGAAAAGTGGGGCGTGCAATATTATTCGGCCCATTTACTTTCAGTGCAGCAAACTCACTCCAGAAGTTCAGTGAGGATCTTTGAATGATCCAATGTTGTCCTAAATGACTGATGATGATAAATAGAATGCACCTGTGTGTAATCAAGTCTCCGTATAAATGCACCTGCTCTTTGATAGTCTCAGGGTTCTGTTTAAAGCGCAGAGAGAACCATGAAGACAAAGGAACACACCAGGCAGGTCCGAGATACTGTTGTGGAGAAGTTTAAAGCCGGATTTGGATACAAAAAGATTTCCCAAGCTTTACACATCTCAAGGAGCACTGGTCAAGCAATTATATCGAAATGGAAGGAGTATCAGACCACTGCAAATCTACCAAGACCCGGCCGTCCCTCCAAACTTTCATCTCAAACAAGGAGAAGACTGATCAGAGATGCAGCCAAGAGGCCCATGATCACTCTGGATGAACTGCAGATAACTACAGCTGAGGTGGGAGAGTCTGTCCATAGGACAACAATCAGTCGTGCACTGCACAAATCTGGCCTTTATGGAAGAGTGGCAAGAAGAAAGCCATTTCTCAAAGATATCCATAAAAAGTCTCGTTTAAAGTTTGCCACAAGCCACCTGGGAGACACACCAAACATGTGGAAGAAGGTGCTCTGGTCAGATGAAACCAAAATGGAACTTTTTGGCCACAACGATATGTTTGGCGTAAAAGCAACACAGCTCATCACCCTGAACACACCATCCCCACTGTCAAACATGGTGGTGGCAGCATCATGGTTTGGGCCTGCTTTTCTTCAGCAGGGACAGGGAAGATGGCTAAAATTGATGGGAAGATGGATGGAGCCAAATACAGGACCATTCTGGAAGAAAACCTGTTGGAGTCTGCAAAAGACCTGAGACTGGGACGGAGATTTATCTTCCAACAGGACAATGATCCAAAACATAAAACCAAATCTACAATGGAATGGTTCACAAATAGACGTATCCAGATGTTAGAATGGCCAAGTCAAAGTCCAGACCTGAATCCAATCGAGAATCTGTGGAAAGAGCTGAAGACTGCTGTTCACAAACGCTCTCCATCCAACCTCACTGAGCTCCAGCTGTTTTGCAAGGAAGAATGGGCAAGAATTTCAGTCTCTCGATGTGCAAAACTGATAGAGACATACCCCAAGCGACTTGCAGCTGTAATTGCAGCAAAAGGTGGCGCTACAAAGTATTAGCGCAAGGGGGCCGAATAATAATTTTGTTCCACTTCACGATTGTGTCCCGCTTGTTGTTGATTCTTGACCAAAAAATAAATTTTTATATCTTTATGTTTGAAGCCTGAAATGTGGCGAAATGTTGAAAGGTTCAAGGGGGCCGAATACTTTCGCAAGGTACTGTATGCCAATGTTCTAATGCAATAGCAAATAATTAAAATTTTCTCTTTGGGAGTCTGGCCCCCAAGGAGACTGTCTGGCCCTGTGACAAATAAAGTTGATGACCCCAGAAGAATGTAATGTGGCTGATCTTTTCCAATGGAGAAGCAGTGCAAGGCAGTAGGGAGAAGTGTCCAGCCAAACCAGAACAGAAAGGCCATCTGCAGGGAATGCGAGTGATCTGGGAGAAAGAGGCAGTGGTCCAAGACAGTTGGTGCTGAATGACCCTGATACAATTTGGAAAACAAAAAATATCATTCCTCAAAAGCTGGTTCACAGCCTACAGCTGGGTTTGAGTACTCAACAAAGAAAGATGATGTCTCTTCAGGTTTGATGGATTTTCAAAACTTTCGAAACTTTCGTTTTCTTGTTTAGATTGTATGCTGTCTGTGGTTGAGATGAGATGTGGTTTTCTGGTGTTAGCCAGGTGTTGTTTCAAGGTAGTGAGAGTAGCTAAGAACCACCTTAACCCTTGACCCAGGACTGATCAATTAATGAATGGTCATCAAAATCTATCCCAAATTTATTTAGGGCTTTTTCTAATCACTGTGGGGAATAATTCTTTAAAATTGAAGCTAAACAGTTTACTTTATTTATTTTATTTATTCAAAGTGACAAGGACCTTGTACAATAAGCCTTGACATCAGGTTATAGCACAAGCGCTAATTTCCACCTGTAGTCCCTGGGCAAGCTGATGTTATGACATAACATTACAATAATCATGCATACATACAGTTTACGTGAATGTACAGTTTACATTGGCCAAAATACATTAAAGAATCACGATTGGTTGTGAGCGCAACCGCTTGTGCTCACACCAATCGTGATTTTTTTTCCCATTACACCAACGCCCTGTACAAGAAGGGCCAGTCGCCTCCACCTTCTGAGGAGGCTTCAGTCCTTCGGAATGAGAAGGCCTCTGCTCAGGACCTTTTATGACTCTGTGGTAGCTTCTGCTATACACTAAGCTGCCGTGTGTTGGGCCCCGGGCAGCACAGAGTGGGACAGGTGTAGACTGAACAAGCTGGTCAGGAGGGCCAGCTCCACTCTGGATTCTGAGGAGAAGGTGAGGGCAAGACGGTGTGAGCCAAAGTCACCTCCATCATGTCCACACTGTTTGTGCTGGTACCGGGAAGGCACTCTGCCTGCAGGAAGTTTATTAGTGCTGTGTTAGCCACGTGCAGCGCATGTTTTTGATCCATGGTTGGGGGTTTACTTGAACATCTCAGCAGAAGTACAATGATGCAGAGAAGAGTTGTCCGGCCTGGTGAAGAGTTATTTTCACCATTCTCCGTGCGGTCGGCTTATTGTATTGGCACATCCATCGTTAAGAACTCCGGAGAAAATGACATACTGGCTCCTGGAGTCCAAGGGTGTAGCAAGCGTCAGACTGCCACTAGCTTGTGAGATAGAGCGTTCACTGGCAGAAGTCCAACTCCCATACAGTAGAGGTGATCATCGTCAGGCAGCGCAACAGAATCAGCACATTTACTCCCCCCTTGGACTGCCACCTTAACGTGGTGGGGGAGTTTGAGCACTCGGATGATCCTGGGAGCTATGCTGTCTGGGGCTTCATGCCCCTGGTAGGGTCTCCCATGGCAGACAGGTCTCACGTGACGAGTCAGACGAAGCGCAGTCCGAAGCCAACCATGGACAGCACGACAATGAGAACCGTGACGTCGCCCGGCATGGCGCAGCCGGGGCCCCACCCTGGAGCCAGGCCTGGGGTCGGGGCTCGCAAGCGAGCACCTGGTGGCCGGGCCTTAGCCCACGGGGCCCGGCCGGGCTCAGCCCGAAGGGATGACGTGGGCAGTCCCTCCTGTGGGCCCACCACCTGCAGAGGGGTCCGTGGTGGCAAGGTGCAGAGAGGACTGGGCAGCAGTCGAAGGCGGAGACCTCGACGACCCAGTCCACACACCCAATATCTGGCTCTTGGGACGTGGAACGTCACCTCACGGGGGGGGGAAGGAGCCCGAGCTTGTGGGGGAGGTTGAGCGATACCGACTAGAGATAGTCGGCCTCACCTCCACACACAGCTTGGGCTCTGGAACCCAACTCCTTGAGAGGGGTTGGACGCTCCACTTTTCTGGTGTTTCCCGCGGGGAGAGGCGGCGCGCTGGGGTGGCCATACTCGTTGCCCTCCATCTCAGCCGCCACGTGTTGGAGTTCTCCCCGGTGAATGAGAGGGTCGCGTCCCTCCGCCTCCGGGTGGGGGACAAGTCTCTCACTGTTGTGACGGCCTACGGGCCTAACGGTAGTGCAGAGTACCCGGCCTTCTTGGAGTCCTTGGGAAGGGTACTGGACGGTGCACCGCCCGGGGACTCCGTTATTCTCCTAGGGTACTTCAACGCCCATGTGGGAAATGCCAGTGACACTTGGAGAGGGGTGATCGGGAAGAACGGCCCCCCTGATCTGAACCCAAGCGGTGTTCAGTTGTTGGACTTCTGTGCCAGTCACGGCCTGTCCATCACGAACACCATGTTCGAGCACAAGGGTGTCCATCAGTGCACGTGGCACCAGGACACCCTAGGCCGGAGGTCGATGATCGACTTTGTAGTCGTATAATCTGACCTTCGACCGCGTGTCTCGGACATTCGGGTGAAGAGAGGGGCGGAGCTGTCAACCGATCATCACCTGGTCGTGAGTTGGATCCGCTGGCAGGGCAGGAGGCCGGTCAGACCTGGCAGGCCCAAGCATGTAGTGAGGGTTAGCTGGGAACGTCTTGCTGAGCCCCCTGTCAGACGGACTTTCAACTCACACCTCCGGGAGAGCTTCTCCCAGGTCCCGGCAGAGGAGGGGGACATCGAGTCCGAGTGGACCATGTTCTCTTCCTCTATCGCCAATGCGGCGGCTCGTAGCTGTGGTCGCAAGGTCTCTGGTGCTGGTCCCGGCGGCAATCTCCGAACCCGGTGGTGGTCACCGGCAGTAAGGGATGCCGTCAGGCTGAAGAAGGAGTCCTATCGAGCAATGATGGTTCGTGGGACTCCTGAGGCAGCTGTCCAGTACCGGCAGGCCAAACGTGCCGCGGCCCGGGCTGTTGCAGAAGCAAAAACCCGGGACTGGGAGGAGTTCGGAGAGTCCATGGAGCATGACTATCGGTCGGCCTCGAAGAGGTTCTGGCAAACCGTCCGGCGCCTCAGGAGGGGGAAGCAGTTCTTTGCCAACACCGTGTATTGAGGAGGGCGTGGGTGGAGGGCTGCTGACCTCGACTGGGGATATTGTTGGGCGGTGGAAGGAATACTTCGAGGTTCTCCTCAATCCCCCCGTCACGTCCCCCGTCCAGGAGGCAGAGGCTGAGGATGTTGGGGCGGATACTTCAATCTCCCTGGCCGAGGTCACCAAGGTGGTTGGCAGCCTCCATGGTGGCAAGGCGCCGGGAGTGGATGAGATCCGTCCTGACTATCTAAAGTCTCTGGATGTTGTAGGACTGTCTTGGCTGACACGTCTCTGCAACATCGCGTGGCGATCGGGGGCGGTGCCAATGGAGTGGCAGACCGGGGTGGTGGTCCCTCTCTACAAGAACGGGGACCGGAGGGTGTGTTCCAATTATCGTGGGATCACACTCCTCAGCCTCCCCGGTAAGGTCTACTCCAAGGTACTGGAGAGGAGGCTACGTCCAATGGTCGAATCTCGGATTCAGGAGGAGCAGTGTGGTTTTCGTCCCGGTCGCGGAACACTGGACCAGCTCTATACTCTCCATCGGATACTCGAGGGTTCATGGGAGTTCGCCCAACCTGTCCACATGTGCTTTGTGGATTTGGAGAAGGCGTTCGACCGTGTTCCCCGGGGTGTCCTTTGGGGGGTCCTCCGGGAGTACGGGGTCCGGGGTCCTCTGCTGAGGGCTGTTCGGTCCCTGTATGACCGGAGCCAGAGCTGTGTTCGCATTGCCGGCAGTAAGTCAGACCTGTTCCCGGTGCATGTTGGCCTCCGCCAAGGCTGCCCTTTGTCACCGGTTCTGTTCACTGTATTTATGGACAGAATCTCTAGGCGCAGCCAGGGGCCGGAGGGGGTCCGGTTCGGGAACCACAGGATTTCATCTCTACTTTTTGCGGATGATGTCGTCCTGCTGGCTCCAACGAACCAGGACCTGCAACATGCACTGGGACGGTTTGCAGCCGAGTGTGAAGCGGCTGGGATGAGAATCAGCACCTCCAAATCCGAGGCCATGGTGCTCGACCGGAAAAAGGTGCCTTGCCCTCTTCAGGTGGGTGGAAAGGTCCTTCCTCAAGTGGAGGAGTTCAAATATCTCGGGGTCTTGTTCACGATTGAGGGGAGGATGGAGCGTGAGATTGACAGGCGGATCGGTGCAGCGTGCGCAGTGATGCGGTCGCTGTATCGGACCGTCGTGGTAAAGAGGGAGCTGAGCCGAAAGGCAAAGCTCTCAATTTACCAGTCAATCTTTGTTCCCTCCCTCACCTATGGTCATGAGCTGTGGGTAATGACCGAAAGAACGAGATCGCGGATACAAGCGGTCGAAATGAGCTTCCTCCGCAGAGTGGCTGGGCGCTCCCTTAGAGATAGGGTGAGGAGCTCGGTCACACGGGAGGAGCTCGGAGTAGAGCCGCTGCTTCTCCACGTCGAGAGGAACCAGTTGAGGTGGCTCGGGCATCTGTTCAGGATGCCTTCCTGGGGAGGTGTTCCGGGCACGTCCCACCGGGAGGAGGCCCCGGGGAAGACCCAGGACACGCTGGAGAGACTATGTCTCTCAGCTGGCCTGGGAACGCCTTGGGGTCCCCCCGGACGAGCTAGAGGAGGTGTGTGTGGATAGGGAAGTCTGGGCGTCTCTGCTTAGACTACTGCCCCCGCAACCCGGCAACGGATAAAGCGGAAGAAAATGGATGGATGGATGGATGGAGTCCCTTTGTTTTTATGAATGTTCTATATGAACAATTTATCCTGGTTTTAGGACAGGTGTTATGTCTGGCAATTTTTCTGAAGTCTTTAAAAAGGGTAAAGCAGCAGCACCTACCACAAAAATGTTCACAGAACAATCTTATTCTGAAAAGTGCACAGTGTCCGTCTAATATTGACTTACATCACATCCCCTGCACCTACTGTAGATATGTTCTGCCAAACAGAATTCCAATAATATGTGTGGCCAAGACAGTCAGGAATGGAGCCTAGTCAGGATGGGCAACCACAGCAATTACAAAGACACAACACTTTACACCATTGTATGTGCCACTCTAAATTCCAAAAACTCCAACATTTGTGAAGAAAATACACTTCGAGATAGATTCTGTGCACTTGGTATAGGGAACATTTGTCTAACTGTACGTGGGTGTCCATTTATAAGTATAAACACTATTGCCTTTAGGCATTGTAATATTGCTTGTATTGCCAAAATTAAATGGGGGACATAAAAGTTAGCAATCAGCGGTTGCTTTTTCTTCAAGCTCAAAACAAAACTGTACTTGAATGCCAGCTTGGTCGTCTTATTTACCATCGGAGGCATAAGAACCCATAGCCACGCTTCATGAAGACTAGGGTTGAGTTAGTAAGCTTTTGGTTAGGTAGTTAGCGGGGCATCCTTAGCTTTGTAGTGTACATTAGTAAGTTTTTGCTTCAGTTTAAGATGAAGTGGTTAAAGAATTTCTGGAGTCTCCATGTGAGGGGGATTTGGAGATCTGCACTAACAAGCATTTAATTGCAATTTGCGATGAAGAGTGTTAAAGACAATTTGAAGGAAAAAATATTTGGAATTGGCATTTTGAGAGCAGAGGAGCAACCGACAGGCTTGGTTTCACCTGTGGGTGCGACTTTAACTTTTGAGCAGCAGAAAGAGTTGCTCTAGTTGAGATTGGACACCGAAAGGGAATGTGGGAAGATGAAGCAGAAAGTGGAATTGGCTGATGGTGATTTGGTCTCACATTTTGGGAGCTGCTGTTCGGCAGCAGGGGTTGAAACCTTAGAGGATTTGAAGGAACTTGTACTATTGGAGCAGTTTAAGAACTCTGTCTCTGAGCGTATTTCTGCGTATGTTGGTGAGCGTGGAGTGAAAACCATTGCGGAGGCTGCTGCATTAGACGATGACTATTACCTGGTACATTCAAACAGTCATAGTTCTGTGTTTCATGAACATAGGCCTAACTTCTCGAAGTCACCAGAGGAATTCAGAAGTGGATGTTTTTCACAACACTCTGATATAATGTGTAATTACTGTCATAAGCGTGGTCATTGGAAGAATGACTGCAATGCTTTG